TTTTGGTATCTGAGATCTTATTTTTAATGTACTAAGCTAGTTCAAAATTTGGATTTTGGTTCGGACAACAATCTTAAACAAAAGATAAAAGCAAAAGGAGGGGTTGATTCTAAGCTTTTGAGAAGGTGATTTTATTTATTTTCCACCCAACTATTACAATTTTGCTTTCCTTAAGAGTTCTTCAAAACACAATCTTGGTATGGTGAGTGGAAGTTTAGGTGGAGGTAAGTGCTACAATTTTGCTTCATTTTAAAAGTTTGAAGTTGTACAAAAAAAAAAAGTTTGAAGTCTTCTATTATTATTATTATTTTTATTATTATTATTATTATTATTATTATTATTATTATTATTATTATTATTATTATTATTATTATTATTATTATTCAACACATTCTAAGATATGCTTATTTATGTACATGTGATATTCATGTGAAACAAGAATTAGATATTTAATGTTGTCTACTTTTTCTATTTTATACCATCTCATTTTTTTTAAATGTCATTTTGGCTTTATCAACTATTAACCAAATAAATGTCGTTTTGGATCTTCTATACATATTTTTCCATTATTACCCTCACTTAGATAATAAATACATTATGTCTTCCGCTTCATCTTTTCTCAAAACATTCATCTCCATCTTCATTAAATAAGGTTATTATTGACAAAAAAATATTTTTAATTAATGTGCAACTTTTCAAAATAACATATATTAAAAGTAGGAAGTAGTGTGTTGCAAATCAATCTACTACATTCAAAATCAACAGAAGCCTTTAATTTCTAATAATTTTTTTCTCCTGCACCACTTCTATTTATTTAATTATTGTGACAGTTATATGCCAATTTGTAGTTCCAAGAAAGAAAAAATAAAAAAGGGAGTCTGGGTTAAAAAAGGAACATGCGTTAATACCGCGCAGTTTGACAAGAAAAAGAGAAACCATGGAGCAGTTGAAAAGGCTTGCATTGGAAAATTCTTGCCGGATTACGCAGTCAGAAAAAAAAAAAATTATGAAAGTGAAATGAAAAAGAAAACACTCTTTAAAAGACAGACAAAGAAGCATTCTTGTCAGTCGTCTCTTACATTATTATTCCTCTCTCCCTACCTACTCGCAAAAACAACCATTTGATCACCATTAACATTTTAAACCAAACAAAAAACCTATGTCCATAAAGACTCCATTTTTCCATACAACAAAATAAATAAATTAATTAATTAATTCACAAACAGACGGACAAGGCTTCGTTGCTTGCTGAAGTGATCCAGCACGTGAAGGAGCTGAAGAGACAGACATCCCTCATATCCGAGACGAGCGCCGTCCCCACGGAGACCGATGAAGTTACGGTGGACAGCACTACAGACGATCTCATCCGGGCCTCCATATGCTGCGAGGACCGGCCGGACCTCCTTCCGGACCTCATCAAGGCCCTCAAAGGCCTCAGGCTAAAGACTCTCAAGGCTGAGATCACGACACTTGGTGGCCGGGTGAAGAACGTCCTGTTTGTGACGGGGGAGGAGGGCGGCGATCAGCCGCAGCCGGTGTGCGTGAGCTCGATTGAGGAGGCGCTCAAGGGAGTCGTGGAGAGGGGGGGAGTGGAGGAGTCAAGTGTTAAGAGGCAAAGGACTAATAGTGTTAATATTGCTTGAGCATAGGCGTTTATGGTGATTCATATAGCCTACCTATGTTTTAATTTTCTTTCTTCTTTTTTGTTTTGTTGGGTTTTTTAAATTTGATTTGTGTGTTGTTTTATTAGGTTTTTGGGTGTTTTTATTTTATTTTAATTTTTTTTTTTTTTTTT